TCACAAAATTATATTTTTTAGTACGTAAAAGGTCACATAGGCTGGAGAATTTCAGGAAAAAAAAATGGAACAAAATCTTGCATAGGACTCTTACATAAAACAGATAAAGTTGGGGTCCTTGGGGCAGGTAGAAGCAGCCAAAGAAAGAGTTTCTTCTGACTCAGCCATCTACTCCCCCACTGTGTACCCAAGTCCCTATGGTCTGGAAACTCTCTGGCCATTTTCTACCACTGAACATTGAAGGAATGGAGAAGGAACGGGAGCTGCCTGGCCTCCCATGGTCAACAGGACAAACCACCCCAAATCCAGAGTTCTGTTCCTAGAAAATGTGTGCTCTCTGCAAGCAGTTGATGACATCAGTTGCCCATGCCTGATGTCCCAGATCTCAGGTCTTCATCGGAGCTCTGCCTTGACTGTTCTCATCAGCACAATAAAGGGGCCCAACCTGCTCTGAGAACATTCCGGTTATTTTCAAAGCATCCCACCACCCCTTACTGGGAAACACCTGGTTTCCCCTTTTCCCCTGACTGCCCTCATCCCAACCTCTATCCCACAAGCCCCAGGCATTTCAGTTGCTAGATCCTGTTTCCTGGACTTGGCTAGTCATTAGAATCACCTGGAAGCACATTAAAAAAATATAGGTTCCTGGACCCAGCACTAGACTTAGTGAATCAGAATTTCCGAGAGAAGGTCCAAGAACCAGTGACTTAAAAAGTGCCCCAGATCAGAAAGGTTTGTGGTGAGTTGTTTTACGACTATCTCCCTACCAAAGCAAAGGAGATCTTATGTTATCATCGTTGTTGGGGTAGAACTGTGATTCTCTGGACACCCCCTTTGAAATTATGAGGCAAACCATCTCCAGCAGACCTTTCCTTCAGCTTTTATAAAGAAATAACCACAAGTGTGAACAAAAGTAGTCCCTCTATGAGGCTGCTCTGTGCTGTAGTAAGAATACAAATGTTCACTAATGAGGGAACTAAGCTAATGCACTGTGGTGTGTTTTCGAAATTCTGTACATTAACTTATAAATGCTTTAAGTTAGTAACACAAACATGTCCACAATAGAGAAAACAAGCTCAGTTTGTTTCAAGAGTAAATGGTTACTTCCAGTCTGTTCCTTCAAATACTGTAAAAATGGGAAAGATTAACAAGGAAATACAATATGACCGAGGAGGCATTAGTGGTATTGTTTGTCTTCTTATATTTCTTTTAATTTTACAGTGTTTCTGCAGACATTGTGGATTTTAGAACCTATGTGGAGAGAAAACAAAATATGTAACTGTCTTTGGGAGGAAAAAAATAGCAAATGATGGCATCTGTGACATTTAAAATATAGCATTCTTATTAATGCTTTGAGAATTATATATTAAACCCCCTCTCTTTTCCATAACTCCTTCCCAATTCATTCCTCATCCCCATACACCCTACCCCCTCTCGAATTCATGTCATTTAAAAAAATAACCCAGGAATCCCAATTTGTGCTACCCATATACCCATGGGTGTAGGGGCATCTGCTGGAGTATGGTCAACCTCTCAGGACCACACCCTTAAAGAAAGCCTACTCTTCCTCCTGTAGATGCCGTAGACTATCAGTAGGTTTCTCAGCTAATGGTGAGTGCTTGGGAGCTCCTCCTCAATGCTGGACCTTAGCTGGCTTGATCTTGCACAGGTCTTGTACAGGCAACCACAGCTGCTATGAGCCCATGCGAGCAATGGTCTTGCTATGTGCAGAAGACACTGTTTGGCTCCAGTCCTCCCTTACTTCTTACTCTTAAAATCTTTGTGTTGTCTGTTTTAATTAGAGTCATGATTGCTGTGATAAAACAGTGACCAAAAGCAACTTGGGAAGGAAAGGGTTTATTTGTCTTACACTTTCACATTACTGTCTATTATTAAGATAAATCAGGGAAGGAACTCAAACAGGACAAGAACCTGGAGGCAGGAACTGATGCAGAGGCCACAGAAGAGTGCTGCTTACTAACTTACTCCTCAAGGCTTGTTCGGCCTACTTTCTTTCAGTACTTGGGACTGCCAGGCAAGGGTTGTCCGCAACCACAGTAGGCTGAGCCATCACCCATCAATCACTAGATTAAGTGAATGCCCTACATGCTTTCCTGTTTACCATTTAATCATCTGGAGCCATGTTCTCAAATGAGGCTCCTTCCTCTCAGATGACTCAAACTAGTGTCAAGTTGACATAAAACTAGCCAGCATAAATCAGGCTTGGTGGTATATGCATTTAATGCCAGCCCTCAGGAGGCAGAAGCAGGCAAATCTCTTAAGTTTACAACCAGCCTTGTCTACAAAGTGAATTCCAGGACGGCCAGAGCTACACAGAGAAACCCTGTCCTGAAAAATCAAAAACAGAAACAAAACAACAATGAAAAGCCAGCCAGCACAACTTGTCAACTTGACACACAGACATACCACTGTTAACCCACCATAATCTTTCCTTTCTTGTTCATTCCCAAGATCACATTTTACAATATAAACCTTTCAAATTTTAAAAGACCCAGTCTTTCAAAAGGAAAAGCTTTAAAAATTCAGTCTCTTTTAAAATCCAAAGTCTCTGTCAAATTCCAAAATCTATTTAAAAGTTCAAAGTCCCTTAACTGTGGACTTCTGTAAAATCAAAAATAATTTAAATACCTTCTTACTTCAAGAGATAAGAGGTAGAGCACAGTTACAATCTGAACAAAGAAAAACCAAACTTCACCTGTGTAAATAACTCTGTCCAATGTCTGGGATCCACTCACCATCTCTGGACTCCTCCAAAGGTCCTGGGTCCATCCTCCAGCTCCACCCCCTTCAGCACACAGAGCTTGTCTCCCAAGGTCAGGCCAGTCCTAAGGCTGCTGCTGTTCTTGGTGGACACCCCATGGTACTGGCATCTCCAAAATGCTGGGGCCTCCTGTTGAACTGGGCTGTACTTTCACCAACAGCCTTCCCTGGACTCTCTTTGTGGGGTCAAGACTCAGTTACTCTCCATGACTCCTTCATGCCTTCAAAATCAGTAACACATGGGTGACTCTTACAAATAACCAAGTTTGGCTGCCAGCTTTGGGAAACACCTCCCAGAAAATTTCACCTCGATGATACTGGTCTCTTCTTAATCTCCACTAATTTCTCAGCTCCAGCTGACTACCATCAACTGTCCCAGTAAAGCAAATGTTTCACTTCAATGGTGCTGGTCTCTTGTTAATCATGGTTGATTCTTCAGCCCCAGCTGACCAGTGCCACGGATTCTTAATTCAAAAGAGTAAATAGCCCCAATAGAATTTATAATGGACTCTCAAACTTCACTCTGGAAGTCCACAAACCAGATTCCTATCATCTGCATTTCTCCCAATATTCTTATCTTCCAAGCTCCCACAGAACAGCTCATCAAGCTTAAAACACTTAATGATTTTTCTAGCTCATGATTCCAAAGTCCTTCCATAATCCTCCCCAAACCAACATGGTCAGCTCTGTCACAGCAATGCCATACTGTCTTGATACCAATTTGTCTTAGTTACTGTTCTATCACTGTGAAGAGACACCATGACCAAGGCAGCTCTAATGAAAGAAAGCATTTAATTGGGGGCTTGCTTACAGTTTCAGGGGGTTAGTCCATGATCATCATGGCAGGAAGCAGACAGGCATAATGCTGGAGCAATAGCTAAGAGCTTGATACTCTGATCCACAAGAAGAAGGGGGATATCTGGGATGGAATTTTGAAACCTCAAAGCCCACCCCACCCCCCCCAGTGACACACCTTCTCTAACAAGGTCACACCTAATCCTTCCCAAACAGTTCCACTAACCAAACATTCAAACATGAGTCTATCCCATTCTTATTCACACCACCACCTCCCCTAACTTCATGTGAAGGGCACATGAGCCTCTTAAAGATGGCGCCAAGGGGAAGTCAGGAGGGTGAGTCCAAAAGTGTTTGCCAAAAGGAATGATTAGTTGGCCAAGATCAAGCCAGATGATGTCATGTCATGCCATAACCAGCTCCTCGTGATCGATAAGCCAAGCAATGAGTGCCCTGGCACCTGATCAGGGTAACCTTTAAAATCATTAGTTGGATGCTGTTCTGCTTCCTTAAAGCTTTGTGGTTTTTTGCTTTAAAAGTGCTTCCTAACAGCCAATAAATGGGTTCCTACCTGACTTGACTCCCTGTCTTTAGGATCCAGGGAGGCTGAAGAACAGGTGGCACACTTACTCTTAACAGAGCCAGACTAAGACCCAACAGCCCCCAACATTCATGATCCCCAAGGCTTGGAGGGAGGGGTATAGTCTAGATGCTCCACTTGTGGCTGAGTACCCCTCAGTTGTGAATTTCTATGAATCCCAGTCCACTGCACAGTGAAACACCCCTGATGAGGTCTGAGAACTGTACCATGCATGTGTTTGATCCCTCCTGGAGTGGGCCTTAAATCCACTCAGAAAGCAATTGATTGCTACACACCCCTCCCCACCACCACCACCCACCCCAGTTAACATTCACACCACTACTGAACCCATGGGCAAATTTTGCCCCACCAATCCTTTCCATAGCTTACAGGGTTCATATCTGGGTAAAACTGTTGATGGCCACCCCCCACAGCAGTCCGAATGGCACCTTCTGATACTATGAGAGCTAGCCACCATGGAGGAAGCTTTCTGGTCAGTACCAATCTGATTTCTCCATTGTGACCCAAGTGTATGTTGTCTTCAGCAATAGAGTCTTACCATCTAATGCTGGAGTACAAGAACAATGTCATTAGTCTGTACTGTTTTGGGGTCTCAGACACCTCTGACCAACAGCTCAAGGGCAGATGCACCACATTTGACACTGACAACCCAAGTCTTCTGAGAGGATTATTAACCCCTGTTTAGGGTAATTCCATTTAAACTCTTTCTTATATATGCATACATATTTTTAAAAGCTTACAGAACAGTAGGTTCCAAAGTAGCCTTTTCAAAGATCCTTAGTGTTTCTTGTTTGTTTTATTTTGTTTTTGTTTTTTTTTTTTCTGCCACGAGGTATGTTTTATTTTCATCAATCATACAAATAATTTTCTATAATATCCCAGGGCAAACCAGTGGAATTTGGCAGTCCAATTATTGGGGGGGGGGAATCCCCCTTCAGAGACCCGAGGGCTTGTGACTCATGTCCATCTTGCAAGTGGTTCTTCCTCCACATCAAGAGAGTGTCTCAGAGGTGACAGGATGGGGTGGGGTGGAAAAATCCTCCAGTCTAGCCTTTTAGGAAATTTCACTCCTCTTTTTCTGTTCAATGGTCTCTTTGGTCAGCAGGGTGTTCTCCTGCGTCTCAGTTTTCTTCAGCTTGGCCTTATCGAAGCTGGCGATTTCCTCCAAGTCCAGCTTGTTTGCGGCTTGTTTGCCATTTTCTAACAACCCAAGGGGTCTCGTTCTAAGCTCATGCTCCAGATGCTCCCACTCGCCTTGCTGCAGCAAGAGACCCAAAAATCCTTAGTGTTAGTCATGCCTTTCCCCACCCTCTTCTCTGCTCCTCCACCCCATCCTTCTCCCACGTAGTTCTCCCCCTGAAAAGTGTAAAGGAGTTTAGTGTAGTGGTGTATGTCTATAATCTCAGCCCTGAGATGGCAGAGGTAGGAGTCTCATGTGTTTGAGACCAGTTTGGGCTACAAGATGAGTCAGTCTCTCTCTCTCTCTCTCTCTCTCTCTCTCTCTCTCTCTCTCTCTCTCAAAGATAGCTGGGCAGTGGTGGCTCATGCCTTTAATCCCAGCACTCAGAAGGCTGAGGCAGGGATTAACTCTGTGAGTTCCAGGCCGGTCTACAGAGTGAGTTCCAGAACAGCCAGAGCTGTTACATGAAGAAACCCTGTCTCAAAAATAAATAAATAAATAATATTTTTATTGTTTTGCTGTTGTTGTTGTACAAATTCAAAAACCTCCCTTGGAAATAAAAAGGACAAGATATGATTAAACTCTTGGCATATATAGAAAAGAAACAGCAAAGTATAATATATACATGCATGAAATGTCATAATGGAACCTGTTATTTGTGCACTTAATTTGCCAATAAAAACATGGTCTTGGGCAGAGCGGGGGTGAGACCCTTATATATATTTAAGGAAAGCCAAGAATGTGAAGGATAATAATTTTTAGGTCTCTTACTATGCAGAGAAAGGAAACATTTTAAATATGAAAGAGAAGTTAGGGTATTTGAAGAATCTATCCAGGAAGTCCCAAAGAACCTGGCTGTTGATCCTCCAAAGCCTCAGTACCAGAGATCTGTCTGTCCTAATTTATCCTAGCTTGTATTTCTCTGGACAATCCCACTATGAAATCTCACTCAGTACAAGCAGCATTTCCCCAAGCCTTAACCCTAAGCAGTCAACAGCAACGGTTGAACCCTGAAGCTGCCTGAGGCAGGGGTGAAGCTGAAGAGTATGATGACCCTGAGGCTTTGGAAACGTCCACCACCCTCCATGGGATGCTGAAGCCCAGATGGATGAATAGAGCTGTGCTCAAGCCCAGACCAAAGCACCTGCCCATGAAAGATCGGAGAAGACCCGAACCTCTCACATCTGGCTGATCCCGGCATTGCAGAAGCAGCAGGGAAAGGCTGGGGCACAGCATACACTGCCTGCATGAAGACTGAAACATGTTCCATCCTGCTCTAAAAGAAACAACAGTCCTTTGGGTAAAAATAAAAGAGCATGAGGGAGCAATTGAGATTTATATAAAAACAAAACCAGACTAAAAAAGATAGCTACGTAAGTGAAAAGACAGTATACGTGTTTCTATTACTTTCAGGGAGTGGAGAGATGGCTCAGTGGTTAAGATCCTTGACTGCTCTTCCAGAGGATCCAAGTTGGGTTCTCGGCACCCACATAGTAGCTCACAATTACCTGTAATTCTACTTCCACAGGGTCCAATGCCCTCTTATGGTCTCTTCAGATACCAGAAACACACATGGTACACAGGCACACATGCAGGCAAAATGCCCATAAGCATAAAACTAAAATAAGTTTAATCTATCTAATTTAAAACACAACTGAATAAAGACATAGTTGCAAACATTTTTATAGAATGTATAAAAAACAAAACAAACAAACAAATGCTTATGAAACCATGAAAGTGCCTAAAGGCCAGTGAGATAGCTCAGCAGGTTAAGCACTTGCCACCAAGTCTGACCATCCAAGTTCGGTCCCCACAGGAAACAAGGTGGAATGAGAAGAGACTTCCAAATGTCATCCTCTGACTCCACATGTGCACAGTAGTGTATACATCCCCAATACACTCACTGAATAATAAAAAAAAAAACTATGTAAAAAAAACCCAAAAGTACATGAAAAGCATAGGCTGCCATAAGAAAATATCACAGACTTAGTGGCTTAAACAACAGAATATATTTAGCACAGTTCCGGGTTCTGGCAAGTTCAAGATGAAGGTGCAGGCTGATCTGATATCTGGAGAGGACCCTCCCCTGTGCTTGGAAATGACCACCTTGTTGCTAGGCCTCTACGGGGTCCCATTCTCCAATAAAGACACTAGCTCTATCAGATTACATCCCTCCGGAGATGGCCTTACTTGACCTTCCTCGATTCTCACAAGCTCAGTCCATGAATACAGTCCCATTAGGATCAGGGAGAAGAGGCACATAAACACTCAGGCCATAGCAAAAAGTTTATAAACTACAAAAACTATTTTTACAGTCTTACTGCAAATGTGATTAAATGTTGTTAATAATTGTAGCCACTGTGCTCAGAACTTGGTCATCTTATGACTTCAGTGTGAATCTCTGAGCTACAGTTCCCTGTGTCTTCTACCCTGTGCTCTGTGGATCCAACTGCTCCAGGGTCCACTTGTGAAGATGAAATCATATTTGCCCTTCTGAATGATGGCTTGTTTTGCTTAGTGTGATGTCCTTCAGAAACCTGCTAAGATCTTAATGATTACCACACTGACAGACAGACAGACAGACAGACAGACAGAACACACACACACACACACACACACACACACAAGCACACACTAAAAGGCAACTACATATTGTGATGAATGTTAATCAGGACCATGACTGTAATCATCTCCCAATGTATACATCAAAACATCACACTGTTCACAGTCAAGAAATGATTTCATATTTTTCAATTTAGACCTCAATAAAGATGGATGAAATTGGATTGATGATAAATGTGCAGTATGGATGGGCAGTGGGTGCATACAGTCTGTGACAATAACAGCATAAAGGAAGAGAAGGAAGATCTTACAGAACAAAATTTTAAGAGTTTAAAAGGTATTATTCCAATGCTAGGTTTAATTTTTTATCGTTAGTTATTGTGTGCACGTGGGACAGCATGTTGAGGTCAGAGGACAACCTGTAGTTGTTCTCTCTTTCTATTATATGTGTCCTAGTTTGATTCTCCATTGCTGTGATAAAACACTACAACCAAAAGCAACTCAGGAAGGAAACAGTTTATTTCACCTTATTGCCTTCCTTTGCATCATCAAAGGAAGTCGGAGCAGGAACCTGAAGGCAGGAATAGATGCAGAGGGAGTCCTGCTAACTGGCTTGTTCATGGCTTACTTGGCCTGCTTTCTTTAACACCCAGGACCACCAGCCCAGGGGTGACAGCACTCACAATGGGCAGGGTCCTCCCACATCAGTCATCACCATCAATAACAACAACAATAATAATAATAAGCAACACAGGCCAATCTGATGCAGGCATTATCTCAATTGAGGTTACCCAATTGACTTTGGCTTGTGTCAAGCTGACATAAAATTAGCCAGCACATGGGTATCCAACTTGGCTTGTCAGGATAGGAAGCAAACACCTTTACCTGCTGAGCCATCTTGCAGAGCCCCTAAAGTTAAATTTTAGAAACTGGGATGATAAACCCAGAGTAACCACAGCTACTCCAAAATACATAGTAGAAGATTTTACCTAGAATACTAAGCTATATCACTTTAACATGCCAAGAGAAAATAACCACAGAACATGACCATATAAATACGAATGAATGGGAATGGAAAGTAAACATATGGAAAAAAATGACCTACCACATGACTATAGGGGAAAATGATATTTTAAATAGTGGGGTAGTTTAAATTCATTCGACTAGCAGAAATTAAGAACTGCTGCCGAAACATGAGAAAATGAGCGCCATGCATGCTGGATGTAAGGGGTGAAGATGGGTGTAGACTGTGAGGAAAGGTTTTGTCTTTGTGCTCTTTGAGCCAACAAGTTCACGTCTAGAGAGAAAAACGCAAGTGCTCCTAGAGTCAGTGTGAGACTGTGCCCCAGAACATGACACATATCTGAATGCAGGAGGTTTGGCACTGCCTTGCAGAAGATCATACCTGCTCTGACAGCTGACTAAAGGATAAACACACAAGTGCTTCATACATGCTATACAAGTACATCAAGAACAGTGTCTGGCTTCTTTTCTTGTCAGCAGCTGACAGAAGACTCCTTGTAGAAAAAGGCTGACTTGACTAAGAAAACGTGAAAACGCTCTACTCAAACCTTTCAAGGATGGGCTCTGGGCTTCCAAGATGCACTTGTGGGGAGCAGCCAATGTGACGACAGAGAGGAAGGAGGGGGCTTTGAAGATGGCTCAGCAGGTAAAGGCACATATATGGTGGAAGGAGAGAGGCAATCCCCAAAGCTGTCCTCTGACCTCCACACGTGCACGGTGGCATACATGCCCGCACACACATCACATGCACTCAGTGATAGGAAGTCACATCACATGCATGCACAATGATAAGTCACATATAACATATACACACACAATGATAATAAGTCACATATACCATGCACACACAATGATAATAAATCACATATCACATGCACACACACCATGATAGTAAGTCACATGTCACATGCACACACACCATGATAGTAAGTCACATGTCACACACACACACACTGATAATAAACATTAAGAGAAGAAGAAGAGGATTAAGGTACCGCACAGTCTTTGTGATGTGTCCTATTTTATTTATTTTTTAACTTTTAAATCTTTGTAGGCATATGATGTATGTGTGTACATTTAGGTATGTGAATGTGGGTGCACATGCACACGTGTAAAGGATAACACCCCCAGGTGTTTGGGTCTTCAGTTCCTTCTTTCTTTAAGGCAGGTTCTCTTGTTGACCCCTATGCATACAGGAGGCTTGCTGATGCTCAGGCTGATGGGAATTCTCTTATATTTACCTCCAGTCTTGGTGTAGACATGCTGTGATTATAAACCTACACTGCATGTATTCAGGGATCTGAACTCAGGTCCCTCATGCTTGCACAGCAAGGGCTTTATCCATTTATCCATCTTCCCAACTCAATGTGCCCTTCTTCCAAGACCCTTTCCCCCCACAAAAAAAGGTAACATTACTTAATTCATTTGAAACTGGGACCCACATATTTAATCCCTGACCCATCATTCATGGAAGAAGATAACACACAAAGGGATAGCACCATGCCAAATATTCCCACAGCACCTTCTGAGAGCCAGGTGGGCTCTTAGCACCTCGGGCCAATTACTTCATTTCACACTCACACTAATTTAATAAAGCAGGGACTCCTGCTGCCTCCATCTCACAGGCTAGGCAATGGAAGCAGAGGTGGTAATGAAACTTAGCCAAAAAGTGCACAGACCAGAGCTTAAACCTCTTCACTGTAACTCTGGAGTCTGCCTCTTCCTCGGGTACCCATCAACCTACCTCTCAGGAAAATGGAATAAGGAGGAAGTTCCTAACCCTTCCCCAATTCCACTGAAACTGAGCCAGCACTGATGGGGCTTTCCTTGAGCCTACCCACACATGACTCTGACCTCTTTTGTTTGTTTGTTTGTTTTGTTTTGTTTTTTGACAGGGTTCTCTGTAGCTTTGGAGACTGCCCTAAAACTCACTGTGTAGAGACTAGGCTGGCCTCCAACTCACAGAGATCTGCCTGCCTCTGTCTCCTGATAGTGCTGGAATTAAAGACGTGGGCCACCACTGCCTGGCCAGCTCTGACTCTTTATTGGAAGTCTCACTCCCCTATTTCCTACCAGCTACTCCTTCACTGTGGGCAGAATGAATCTTTTCTGTAGAAAAACTTGGCCTACATTCTGAAACTTGACATTTATTAAATACCATGTGGCAGAGCTACCTTGGGATAAAGAGGTCTTCAGACAGCCAGAAACACATTTCTCCGAGGCTGGTAAATCTAGAATTGTTTGCTCATGCCTATGGCCTGCTGGGCATTCCTAGCTTTTCTGTGGAGTCACCATTTAATAATGTAACCCGCCCTGTATGTAACATCCTGATGTATGCTCCTTCATTCTTCAAGGCAGCCCCAGTACACAATAATGACATTCCTCCATCAAGGCAGTACCCAAAGTGTTCAACCAATATTAACTGTGACTCTTTGTAGTGATGGAAGTTGTTTTTTTGGAATGGATAAATTTGTAAGTAAAAGGTAATTTTTTTGTTAATATATCACAGATTAATGTGGAAAAATTCTAAACATTTTAATTGGTACAATTAATTTTTAATTAAAGAAAAGTACTATAATAGAAAAAGTTGGCCATTACCTTTAAGCAAAAAGGGTAGAAAAATCATCCAAATTTTCTAGCAAAGTATAGAGAAATGTCCAAAAATAAACTACATTAGTATTTTAATGTGCACCTTTCCAGACATATGTGTGTGTGTGTGTGTGTGTGTGTGTATGTGTATGTATTTATGCAAAAATGAAATCATATGTACTACTTCTAGCATTCTTCATCTAGCCATGTTATAAAGAACACTGCCAGTTTTCCAGGTTTATCATTGTTCCAAATGCTCATCATTGGCACTGTCAGTTAGGGTTTCTATTGCTATGAAGAGACACCATGACCGAGGCAATTCTTATGAAGAAAACATTTAATTGAGGTGCTTGCTTGCAATTTCAGATGTTCAGTAGACTGTCATCATGGTGTGGAACACGGTGGCATGCAAACAGACATGGCACTGGAGAGGAAACCTCAAAGCCCGCCCCCACGGTGACACACTTCCTCCAACAAAGCCACACCTCCTAACAGTGCCACTCTCCATGAGACTATGGCGGTAGATTATATTCAAACTTTCTGAATTTTATGACCTGGAAGTAGTCCCTGAGATAGATACAGCTGGTTTATTTTGCCTATCTTGATTCCATTTGACCAACTATTTAGTTGCCTCAGCTTTTGTTTAATGTCCGCATCTGAAAAGAACAGAATTCAAGAAACACTACCTGCAGTGATCTGAAGTCCTATGGAATCCTTTCTCACCCCGAGTTTCACTCTCTTTCTGGACTTTGGTTGATAAACCCTTTCTTGTTCGTCACCAAACCCTTTGACCCATCCAAACCATCCCCCTCCTTGATCTTTCACTCCCTGCTCACTGGCCAGCTTTTCTGAAGCGACTCCTTTGCCTTTTCCTGAACCCACTTCTGCTATCTCCTTGGGTGCTTTCATCCACTCACCCTCTGTCCTATTGACTTAGCCATCCTTTGAAGCCTACTGTACAAAAGACACGTGTGAGGCCCCGTGGGGATCAAAGGCTGTCTGTGGCACATCCTGAGTGCTAAAGAAATTCACAGTCTAATTGGAAATGCAAGGTACTTAGAAGCAACGGCCCTGGTATATTGGCTGTCTGGGGTGGGGGGGAATCTCTTGATGCACACAGGCTTGCCAATTTCCATGCTACAACATATCCCCACCATGGCCAAGCCCCAATATGATGTCATCAAGACAATTAAGAGTTGGAAAGTGATTAGCTCCAAGACACAACTGACTGGCTGAGAAAAGCTAAAAAGCATACACAGATGTACTTATGTATGTGTATGTGCATGCATATGCATATAAACAAATATGTTCTCATGCAGGTGTTAGTGGCGCACACCTTTGATCCCAGCACTCAGGAGGCAGAGGCAGGTGGATCTCTGTGAGTTCGAGACCAGCCTGGCCTACTAGAGCTAGTTCCAGGACAGCCTCCAAAGCCACAGAGAAACCCTGTCTCGAAAAACCAAAAATAAAAATAAATATGTTCTTTGACTTCTCAGACATTGTCATGTATATACATATAAATAGCCAGAAAAAAAATAAGCAAAGCAGAAATGTAGGAGTACACAATCATGTCATCAATGCTACCAACCTCATCCTCAGCATCAGCCACATACAGGATGCACCCAGTCCTGTGTTCACTGTTTATTATATAGCCCTCTAAAATATACTCCTATGAAGTGGGATTATTAGTACCATCCATCTTACATCACCTTTGCAACACTGGAGTCTAGAAAAGGCAGGTCATTTGCCTCTGGTAGTTCAACAAAGTAAGTAACGACACTATCATTACATCAATGTCCCTCTAGTTCTACAGCCCAGGTTTGGTGGCTGCCCTCTTTGGCTGCTTCCCACCAAGGGGGTTAGACAGACCCTCATGGCTCAAGCTACAGATTTGGAAGACAGGTCAGTCATGAGACAAAAGACAAACCTTGAGCTACTTGGAGTCACATGACTAAGCCCCTCCCTACCCCTTCATATCACCTCCCTTCTCTGAGGTACTAAAAGGCTGTCTTTTAGTACCCAAGGTTGCCCTTCAAGTTACTACACAATTCTCTACTTTCTCCTCTTTCTTACCAAAAGTCTCCATTGAGGCTTCCTTTCATTTTGTTTTATTTTTAACCATAGGCTATGTGTGCTATTTGTTTATCACTTGCTTCTTGACTTCTTTTTCTAAATTTCTGTTTCTTTACTACTTATCATTGATGATTACTCCTTGTGGAAACGGAGAGACAGAGAATTTATCTAACCATAAGGGGGACATTTGTGTAAAGGAAGCAAATGAGAGT